GGAACACAGCCCGGGCGCGACAGGAAAAGGGTGCAGTCTGTGGGGGCCTCGGAGGGACGGTCACGTGCAAGGGAGGTCGGCGTGACCTGCTCGGCGGTGTGGGAGCCGAGGGAGGGGTAGCGGCCGGGGATCCGTGAGGGTCGGGGGGGAGAGAGGGGCTGGTAGGCTGCGGGGGACGTGGGGGTGCCGGGCACCAGCGCCAGGGCCCAGGGCGACGGAAGAACAGAGTGGTGACAACGGTCGGGGCCAGCGGAGCGGGAAGAAGACTGTCCAGCTCGAGCGGAGGCGGGGGCCGCCCGGAGTCCCGACTCGGGCTGAAGAGAGGGAGGCCGGCCCGTGGCGCGGCGTCCGGGAGGGGAGCCGAAGGGGGTTAGGAAGGGCCCGGGACCGCTGCGGGATGGCGCTCTCACCGGGACAGGTGCTTCAGGATCTGCTTCTTGATGATTCCGGCCATGCCGGAGCCGCGTCCCGCGTGGAAAGCAAGTGGGCGGTGTGGCCTCCTCAGCCGTGAAGCAGCAGCCCCTCACCTCGCCGCGGCGCGGGGACTGGATGCCGCTGCCATGGCGCTCTCCCGCCCCGGCCCGGGCGCTCTATCTCCGCCGCGATCCCACCCACCTGCGCGGTGCGGCGGGCGCCAGCTCTGAGCGACGCAGAGATAGCGCACTGCCGGCCCGACTCCCGGCGGCCTGAGGCGCGCGTGGTCATAGGCGGGACGCGCGACGAGGGGCGGGGCGCGGCGGCGTGGGCGAGGCGCGTGGTCAGAGGCCGGGCGCGCGACGAGGGGCGGGGCGCGGAAGGGGCGGGGCTCGTGGTCATAGGCAGGGCGCGCGACGAGGGGCGGGGGCGCGACGAGGGGCGGGGCGAGGAGGCTCCGCCCTCTCCCTCGGCTGGACCGCTAGCCTCTCAGCGGAAGGAGATCTGAATGGCTTCGCCTCTGAACTGCAAGTGGTTCACACTCCGGAAGTCGCCTTGAAGCCTTGGAGGAAAGGCTGGGTGTTTGTAATTTTTTGCAGGAATTCGCTAGATAATGGCACAGTTCCAGGTCCACTTGTCATTCATTTCCTTCACACATGCACTCATTATTTGTTGAACAACAACTAACTCCACTCCAGGAATCAGGGTGGGAAGTGAAAAGTAGTTACAGGGACCTCACAGGTCCATAGCATCACGGGGTCTGCTGCTTCGGACCAAAAAACATAGGGGCGCCTAGTCATCTTCGTTATGCCCCTCTTAACCTCCACCTGGTTAACCAGAGTTTACCCAACACTCAGGTACACCCCTCCCAAAAGAAAATAAGACAGTTTGTAATTCTAAAAATTACCAATGACATTCGAGAACAAGTTCTTTGTTTTGCATAGAAGGAAACTGAAGCCCAGGGAAGTAGTTGAAAGAGCTTGCTCAAGGTCACAACTAAGACTCAGGACCAGAAACAAGTCTTCTCTCAGTCCAGTGCTATTTTCACTCTGTTTCATGCACATACTTAAAAAGTATAACCCATATACCAGGGACATCTGTAGGCCCAATAGCAAAGGCGGGAAGGTGGCAGTGTTCTAGACTTTAAACCAGTGATTCCCAAAGTGGGCGCTACCGCCCCCTGGTGGGCGCTGCAGCGATCCAGGGGGGCGGTGATGGCCACAGGTGCATTTGTTTTAACTTTTTTTGTATTACCTTACTATTTTGAGTTCAATAAATAGTTTCATAATTTCAAACTTCAATGTTTCTAATTTACACCTTTCTTTACTATATTTTATGAAAAAGGTAGAAACATTAATACATATATCTTTCTGTTTAATTGCTATTAAAATTTTTAAAAAATTAATTTCCAGGGGGCACTGAGTAATATTTTTTCTGGAAAGGGGGCGGTAGGCCAAATAAGTTTGGGAACCACTGCTTTAAACCTTCAAGCAAAAACCTGATCAAAATAGTACTCTCACTCAGACAACAGCCTTATGGTTAATCTGGCCACCACTTAATTTTAAATGTATTCACTTTTGTGAATAGCTAATGCATACACATAATAAAACAAATCAAGATAAATTTTCCTGTCCTTCAGCCATTCAGTTCTCCCCAAAACATTTGTTACCTAATTCCAGAGATAATCTAAGCATGGTCAACTGTATAAATGTGAAACTTTAAAAATAAATAATCAGCCTGGCCGGTGTGGCTCAGTGATTGAGTGTCAACCTATGAACCAAGAGGTCAGGGTTCCATTCCAGGACAGGGCACATGCCCGGGTTGTGGGCTCAATCCCCAGTGTGGGGCATTGTGGGGAAGCATGAGACTTGGTTGGGAAATTTGTAAGGAGGACATTCTGAGAAAAGAGAAGTGTGAAGAAAGCCACCTGCCCTGTTTATTGGAATTCCGACTTAGGGAAGTGCTGAAGGCAGTCCCCTAATTATTCCTTGACCTTTCCAAACAAGTCTGTGCATGAGCAGACCTCCGGGTGTTTACTGCAATCCTTGTGCTTAATCTTTAGGTGTCCTTGCTTAAAAGACACTACAAACACATGTGTCCTCCCAAGATTACTTACCCTGCTGATTGTATCTAAAAGAAACTTTTAAAAAATTAATTAATTAATTAATTAATTAAAAAAATAAAATAAATAAAAGAAACTTTATCTCAAACTGCTGCTACAATAAAAGCCTAAGGAGGCAGGCAATTGAGGCTGCCTGGTTCCGTTAGCCAGGCTGTCCCTTAGCCCTCTCTTTCACAGCAAACGTTGTGTCGGAGTAATCCATTCATCTATCGCTCAGGGTCCACTGGCCAGCCCCAGCAGGGCGTGCAGGAGGCAGCTGATCAATGATTCTCTCTCATGGTTGATGTTTCTATCTCTCTCCCTCTCCCTTTCTCTCTGAAATCAATAAAAATATACTTTTAAAAAACAATAATCAACATACTTCATGCATGCCTATGCCTGTCTCTTGGTCATAGCAAACTCAATTTTCCCCAAAAGCACCCCCAAAATTACCTTCTTAAAGGGAACCAAATCATCCTCAGCTTAAGTGCTCTATGACCCAATCCTCTCCAACAGGACTGCACAGTATATCATTATTTGTTCCTCTGCCCACCTCTCATCAGAATACATACCAATAGATCCTATGGAAGGGGTTTCTTGCCAAGATTATTGACCATATCACTCCTTCCCAATTCCACTGTCAGCTAAAAGGGCCTCAGGGCAATTTCTTGCACTTTAAGCTTCTTTTCTTGGAGCACCCCATCAGCTGATTTAGACATCTGACATTAGCTATGTAAAACAAAACCTGCCTCATACTCAGCAGCATCCTGTAGAACCACTCATCATGCCTGGTGAATGCGTTGTTCTTGTTGAAAGAAAAAATTCATGCTCTAAAAGAATCTGGCCTAAGGATCATTGAATAGGAGAGTTCATACTCTCATCAATAGTATAATTCATTTATCTTTCCCTGCAATACTAAGAATGCAAGGCATATGAAAACAAAAGAGATTTAGGGGCAACCCATACCTTTTTTTTAAGTTAAACATTTTAAAAATATATATATTTTTATTGATTTCTGAGAGTAAGGGAGGAGATAGAAACATGACTCATTGATTGGTTGCCTCCTGCACCCCCTCCCCCCGCCCCCCGCCCACTGGACAGGTGCCCTACCACAACCCAGGCAGGTGCCCTGACCAGGAATTGAACCGTGGCCTCCTGGTTCATAGATCGACACTCAACCACTGAGCCATGACTGCTGGGTAAGTTAAACATTTTATTTTGAGATGATTGTAGATTAACATTCAATTGTAAGAAATAATATAAAGAAATCCCTGTACCTTTTAACTAATTCCCCCAATGGTAATGTCTTGCAAAACTTTAGTATAATATATCACAACCAGGATATTGACATTGATATACTTAGTACATAGAACATGTTTTCCTTTCTGATATGAATGCCTTTTATTGCCTTGTCTTGCCTTATTGAATTGGCTACAACTCCTGGCACTTTGTTTAATAGGACTGATGAGAGCAGACATACTTTCTGTGTTCCCAATTTTAGAAGGAAAGCATTTGGCCTTTATTAAACCATTAAGTATATTATCAATTGTAGATTTTTTTGTGGATACTCTTTATCAAGTCGAGGAAGTTCTTTTCTATTCCTATTTTTCTGAGAATTTTTAATATCAAGAATTAATGTTTAGCCCTAGCCGGTTTGGCTCGGTGGATAGAGCAGCGGCCTGCGGACTGAAGGGTCCTAGGTTTGATTCCGGTCAAGGGCACATGCCCGGGTTGCAGACAGGAGGCAGCCAATCAATGATTCTCTCTCATCATTGATGTTTCTATCTCTCTCTCCCTCTTCCTTCCTCTCTGAAATCAATAAAAATATATTTTTAAAAAAAAGAGCCGAAACTGGTTTGGCTCAGTGGATAGAGCGTCGGCCTGCGGACTGAAAGGTCCCAGGTTCGATTCCGGTCAAGGGCATGTACCTTGGTTGCAGGCACATCCCCAGTAGGGGGTGTGCAGGAGGCAGCTGATCGATGTTTCTCTCTCATCGATGTTTCTAACTCTCTATCTCTCTCCCTTCCTCTCTGTAAAAAAAAAATCAATAAAATATATTAAAAAAAAAAAAGAATTAATGTTTAGTCCTAGACAGTTTGGCTCAGTGGATAGAGCGTTAGCCTGAGGATCAAAGGGTCTCGGGTTCGATTACAGTCAAGGGCATGTACCTTGGTTGCAGGCTCCTCTCCGGCCCAGGCCCTGGTCGGGACTTGTGCAGGAGGCAACTGTGAGAATAAACAAGTCATCTTTTCTGTCAAAGAACAGTTTAGACAGCCGCCATGTTGGCCACATGACTTGCAGCTCCCCTGGATAGAATTTATGATTCTATCCACCATCTTAAAATGACAAAGGCCAACCCCTCCCTTTGAATTAGCCAATCAAGAAAGACTGTGCACCTGAGCTCCAATCAAGAGTGAGGGACAGGTCATGTGCGTCTGGGATTATAAAGCCAAGGAGACCACCTACTCAGTGTGTGTGCTTCCAGACCATGTGTGCCACCCTTCTATGTTGAAGTGAAGATATTTGCCTTGTCCTGACCGGTTTGGCTCAGCGGAGAGTGCATCGGCCTACGACTCAAGGGTCCCAGGTTCGATTTCAGTCAAGGGCATGTACCTTGGTTGCGGGCACATCCCCAGTGGGGGGTGTGCAGGAGGCAGCTGATCGATGTTTCTCTCTCATCGATGCTTCTAACTCTCTATCCTTTCCCTTCCTTTCTGTAAAAAATGCAATAAAATATATTTTTTTTAAAAAAAGATATTTGCCTTGCTGCCTGGTTCCTGAATGTTTTCTGTTCTACCAGGACCTCTGAATTCGGAGTCTCGCCTTATTTTTTACAACAACCAATCGATGTATTTCTCTCACATCGATGTTTTTCTCTGTCCCTCTCTCTTCCACTCTCCCTAAAAATCAATGGAAAAATATCATCAGGTGAGGATTAAAAAAAAAAAGAATTAATGTTTAATTTTTTCAAAATGCTTTTTCTGCACTGAAGGCTATGTTCATGTGATTTTAGCCTTTTAACATGGTGGATTATATTAATTTTATTTTTTACAATTTATACATTGATTCATTTGAGAAAGAGAGGAAGGGGGAGAGAGAGAGGGAAACATCAATTTGTTGTTCCACCCACTCATTCACTCATTGTTTGATTC